GCCCCTATCCCAGCGGCTCCAGCCTCTGCGGTCTGGAGAGGGGGCCAGGAGGGGCCCGGGTGGTGGGGCCCAGTGTGAGCAGGACTGTGGGGCCCGCAGGAGCCACTGGGGGAGAGGGTGCAGGGGTGGGGGCAGCGAAGGCACTGGCATCTGGCGTGGACCGAGGGACCCCGCCTGCGAGCCCAGCGCCCCAGGGCAGGGGCTGCCGATAGGCGGGGGGCGTTGGGGGGCGGGGCCCCGAGTCACAGTGCCCCCGCCCGCAGGACGTCCGGCTGCTGGTGGCCGGCAAGGCGCCGCAGCGGGCGGGTGAGGTGGAGCGGGACCTGGACAGTGCGGACCGCATGATCCGGCTGCTGTTCAACGACGTGCAGGCCCTGAAGGACGGCCGGCACCCGCAGGGCGAGCAGATGTACCGCAGGTGGGGGCGGGGCTGGCGGGCGGGCGGGGCGGGGCTGGCGGGCCTCGCCTCCAGGCCTCCCTGACCGCCGCTGCCCCCAGGGTGTACCGCCTGCACGAGCGCCTAGTGGCCATCCGCACCGAGTACAACCTGCGCCTGAAGGCTGGCGTGGCCACACCCGTCACCCAGGCCACCCAGGCCACCCAGGCGACCCTGCAGCGGCGGCCAGAGCTCGAGGGCTCCGCGCTGCGCTACCTGCAGGACCTGCTGGCCTGGGTGGAGGAGAACCAGCGCCGGGTGGATACCGCCGAGTGGGGCGTGGACCTGCCCAGTGTGGAGGCCCAGTTGGGCAGCCACCGGGGCCTACACCAGTCCATCGAGGAGTTCCGTGCGAAGATCGAACGAGCGCGCACGGACGAGGTTGGCCGCCGCGGGTGCGGGGGCGGCGGCGACTCAGCGGAGGGGCCGCATCCGCCCCGGCCGCAGGCCTCACCCCCCTGTTCCCCATAGGGCCAGCTCTCCCCGGCCTCGCGCGGGGCCTACCGCGACTGCCTTGGCCGGCTGGACCTGCAGTACACCAAGCTGCTGGTGAGTGGGCAGGGGCCGGCGGGGGCAGAGGTGGG